TCTAGTTATTAACAATATTTATAATAACAGTAATTATTAATTATAATCACTAATTATATATTTATGGGAAATTGTCAAAAACTCACCATGAGTTTTCAGCATTTCTCTTAAACTCACCACAACTTTTCAAAATGTCTAAAACTCACCATGTCACTAACTTGACATTAAAGAGACTAACAACCATTAATATATTACCATTTTAACCTTCATAGAAAATATAAAATATATACATATATTTTAGTATTTAGATATGATAAAAAGGAAAAAGTTCAAAAAAATATTTTCAAATATAAAATATATAAAAACACAGAAATTGCTAAAAATATAAAAATTATAGAAATTGAACACAAAATAAAAAATTATTTTCAAATTATAAAAACTATAGAAATTGAAAAACAAAATCAGAAAATAAAAATTGTAGAAAAAACACCAAAAATTATAGAAAAACACAGAAATTGCAAATAAACAGGAAATTTTATAGATTGTAGAAAATAGAAAAATGTAAAAAAAAACTGAAATTATAAAAACATTAGAAATTATAACAAAAAACTAAAATGTAAAAATGAAAAAATACCCTTTTCCTCTAACTCGCCATTCAAGGGTGATTTGGTCATAAAAATTGTTATTTATGCTGATGTGATCACCTCAGTTAAGAAAACATTAACGGTGTATCAACGGAATGTGAGTTTTGAAAAATAAAAACTTAATGACATAGTGAGCTTTAGACGTTTTGAAAAGTTGTGGTGAGTTTAAAAGAAATGCTAAAAACTCATGGTGAGTTTAAGACAATTTCCCTATACTTATTAAATTACTGTAGTAATCAGTAACTACTATTATTTTTTATGGCAGTAATTACTGGGTTGCTTTCAAGTGGGAATCTACTCGCAGGAATAGATTCTATTTTCTGCACGGAGAGAGAACCCCTATCCTATATATATATAAAAGATACGGCCTACCTAGTGAAAGACCCGAACTCTTTCTGCTACAATATGATAAGAGAAACAAAACTGAAAGAGAAGCCTCCTGTCGTGTCTAAAACTCTAAATTAGACCATTTCTTGAATTACCTTCCTAGGAGAAATACAGGAACATAACTTTATTAGCCAGCTGAATTTTCCTATTTCAGCCGTTCAGGCTATCAACAAACAACAATGACCTTCGAATTCTAAGGAGATTACTTTCTATCGCTGCCCATGTTTTCTGCCACTAAGATGAGAATGACAACTTTACCAATGAAAGAGTTCTGGCTGCTGGGGGTTTTCCCGATATATATTGATTGAGCTATGTATCTGATGGCAGCATTGCCTGATTTTGTCACATCTTCAATTTCATCACCCCATTACCAACAATTCTTTCCGGGTCCATCCCACATGAAATCCCTGCCAATTGAGCTATGTAACAGATCCTCCAAAGCCCAAAGGCCCCAAACTTGAAAAACTGGAATTGAAAGGGAGATGGACTACAATTTAGCACGAGGTATGTTGGTACACGACATTATTCTATCATCATGCGCGGATCAGGACTGGTTTGGGCCTAGGTTTTGTTACCAAGGCCTTGAGCCCGTGTCTTTACTGTAGGCCTAGTTATACCCTAGCTGGGTTGGGCGAGAGATATAAATATACGGAATAGTCTTAGTCCCCAATGTATATGATTACGATCAATGCTTCTCTACGGCATGGTTTCCAATGGCCACCATAGTCAACCTTTGTAAACCCGAAAGGCGAAAATCAGCTCACCATGCCACTTAAGGTTGTGTTTGGTTTGACAGAATATAAGAGAGAAACATAAAATTGAGAAAAGTTATCAAGGAGTTTCGCAATTTTTTTTGGTTGACAACTTTACTAAAACGTCTTGTTTCTCTTATTTTCTGTCAAACCAAACGCAACGTTAGGTACTTTATAATGTAGGACCATTTGATTCTCACTGATCATTTTGATAGGGTAGCTATCAAAAAGATACAGAATTGTAGATGAAGAAAGCTCCTAATCTTTTTCTCAGGGACAATACAGGTGGACGATTGTTTGAGTGCGTGTCTCAAGTCATCCTTTGCCTTGTTAAGCGGCAAGGGCCAAATACAAGTCTCTAGTCATGCAGCAGATGCAGTGCTGCGCCTATAGCATTGCACAACACTATTATCATAAAATTGGGGATTGCACCACATTCATTTCCTATACAGCCACTTTATGCAACTCCCACATACACGGTGGGAGTGTGGGACGCATGAAAAAAAAAGGTGCGTGGGCCAATGACCATGTATGTAAGCCGGGCGGAGTATTCAAGAGTTGCATGAACTCGTTGTAGGCCTTGAGGTAATGTCAAAGATATTTTAATATAAGTAGGCCCATTGGACGTGTCTGTTTCTGTGACCAACTCCTAAGTCCTAATATCACACAAGTATCGTTTCTAATCATGATTAAAAGCTAATTATCCCCCACAAGGAAACCGTGACCACACCGTCCAACCCTTCCCGTTGTAATTAACGGCTACCTTTCTAAGTTGAAACAGAATTATGCGAAATCCTCGGGCCTTGGCTATGGATAATAGTTAAGTAATTAGACTTAACGATAATAATTCCGTCTTAACAAGTCGATAAACATAATAAGAGACAAAGCAATCAGCCAATGCGAGATTCCTTATCCACCTCCTTTAATCGTCTAGATTCTAGAAGGAGAGTACGTGGAACAGACTGTTGACGAGAGAATGAGTCAGAAAACCTTCCTAATACGTCAATTTCGCTCCAGCTCAGTTGTCTAATTGATTAAAATCCGGTTAGTTAAAACCAATTAGATTGATTATACGGATAAGTAGATAAACACAAAAAATAAAAATAAAAAAAACCTCCATTAAAATCTTTTGTTCCGATCTTTACATCTTAATCACATCTACCCACAGTTACTCTCGATTAAAAATAATAAAAAATAAGAGAATATAAATAAAAATAAAAGAACAGTAAGATCTCAAAGGATTTGTGGTTTCATCTCCACTCCAAATCCCTTTTCCTTTCTCTCATCCTCCTGCCAACCGCCTGCAATGCCACAACCACAACCAATTTTTTATCTTTGGTTAAATTCGGAAGGGAACGACATTAAACAGAATACTGTACTAAAAATGGAAATGTTAATTTATCAGAATCAATTTTTGGTTAACCTGGGAATACCACTAACTGGGATACCCATAAATGGCAATTAATTTCGACCCACAGAAATATTCCGAAGAAAGAAAATCAGAATTCAAGTTCAGTGGGAGCAGAAGCAAAAGTCATCAAAGACAGATATCGACTAATCGGTTTCTAATAAGCAGCAATAAATGCAATTCATCTTTCACGGTTAAAACACAAAAGAAAAATTCTAAATCGGAATCTGAAAACGGTTGCATCCCCGCGAAAACTAATTGCAGGAAAAAACTCAAATCAATTGAATTGAAACGGGTGTGACGATCAAATGAGAAACATGGTTATGGGTTGGGGATCAGTGGGAAATACAAAGAACCTGATCCAAGACTCAGAGTGCCTTGAGCTTCCGGCTTGCATTCTGGAGGATCTTCGAAGAGGGAAAGTGAGAGCTGCTTATGAGCGACTCCAATGTCGAACAAGATGACACCCGATGATGGGTCGTCGAGTATGATGTCTTTGACAGGTAACCACAGGAAGAGTTCTTCCTGGGAGAGACCCTCAAGTCCTGTAAGCTCGCCATAACTGAGATTACCCTTTACAACGCTGTCGAAATAGACTCTACTCTCGAATTTCGTCAAACAAGGGCGATCGAGGAAGACTTCCAGGCGGCCATGATCGTCGAGAGTGTACGATTTCACAGCCTTGGGAAGGAGGCCTACGGGCAATCCTCTGCTCTTAAGGAGATCGTGAATCGAATCGGCTTGCACCCGATGAAGATCGAGGATCAAAATCCCTAACAATCCTAGAAGAACCAATACGGAGCGACTCTGTGGTACCGCCATAGCCTTCCAATGGCGAGGAATGAAGACACAATGGCCGAGGGAGAGGGAGGATGACAAAGAGGTTTTAATGGGGCTTAAAAGAATTATGGTAGGAGACACGGAGGGCGAATGTGTAAACTCAATCAGAGGGGGTCTGTCTCGTTAAATTTACTAGAATACCCTTGCATCCCACGAGTCTAAGATTCTAATTTTGAACCCTTTTTCCGGATTAAAGAAAAGTAGTTCAATCCTGTGGTTTGTTCAACTGCCACGTGTCATTGACGGTGCCCTTAAAATGCCAAAACTCTACATAGTAAATACGCGATGATGAGGTGAGTTGCGATTCCGATTCGTAAATCAGATTATTGGACGGCGTCACGGCGGATAAGATTTTTTTTTTTTTTTAGTAACTAAGAATTAGGCAGGCCAAATGTTATTTGATGTTGCCGATTCATGCAGAGGTTTGTAGATGGGCCAATTGATAAGGCATCTATCCAACATGTCAAGACGCAATGAATGGTGATCCCCATCCTTTATGAATGGGACACACTGCTAATGATATTATAGCCTCCACGAAAATTGATTAGAAAGCTAAAATTACAAAAAAAAATAAACGTACGGCTTTAATCCCTTATGAGTTATGACGACTAATAATATTTTGGTATACTCTTCAAGCTATTTTTCCTTATTTCTAAAATTATTCCCATTTTGTGTTCCTTCAACTTTTTTACCGGTTAAGAAGAAAAAGTTTAAAAATGAATATTTATTTTATTGTTTCCTTTCTGATTTTCAATGAAACCTAGTTTTTAGAAATGAAAATCCTAACAGGTTTCTGGTACCGTACCATAGTCATTTATTGAAGGCATTTTACTGTGTCAGGGCCAGCTAGGCATTTTGCTCTCTTCCCTCACTTTCTTCTTTTTGTTTGAGTTCATCCTTTTTACTTACGTGGCATGCCACAAGGGCACCTAGTTGCACCAAATAAACAAGTGAAAATTATAGTCACAATTTTTTATTTGTTTTGCAAAACCTCCACCTATAATACATATATCCTCCTCTTGTTTTTGTTTTAAATTTCCCTACTTGTTACTGATTTAAAGTAGGGAAATCAATAATTTATCGAAATATACAGGCAACCTGGAATTATTTAACAAATTGCATGGTGTAGCCATTATATGAGAAAATAACAATAATACCAAGAAAAAATCTATGCTAATGGATACTGATCAATCAAATCCCCCGTGAATTTTGACAAATACCACTTGATTTATGAAACCATAACCAAACCTTAATATCAAATATCACCCAAATGAATAGATAATTAATTGAAAATACAAATATAAAGATAAAAAAAATAAAAGGTAAAATAATATATATATATATATATATATATATATATATATATATTGGCATTGTAAAATGTACAAAAACAAGGAAATGCACGGCAAAAATCTTCTTCATCTTAGAAGAGATTCTTCAAAACAATGAAAAGTGTAAAGATTGGATGTGAAAGACATTTTAGAAATAGTTCGGTAGAGGTTGAACACAGAGGACCTATGAACAGAAATAGTTTCCACCGGAGAACATTTTTCACAAAGATTTTTGTCACATATACTTCTGTGTTTATAAGTGAAAGTTTACAAGTCCCTGTATCAGTAATTTTCCCAATTATAAATGGTAGGATTGTGGAGAAAAGGACCATGGCCCACCTTATGATGTTGATTAGCAAGGATAAAGTGATGGAGGGGCATTTTAGCCATTGCATGTCACTCAAGAGGAAACAGTAAAATTGTTGATTCAAAGGGGCTTCCTTTTCTTTCCTTGCCTCAAATTATTTCAATTATGGTAGTGGACCAAATTGCAAATTGCAAAATTTGCATACTTTTTGTTTGATAAGATTGTATGCACCACAAGTTGCAACACTCCAACTCCATTTACATCTTTTTTAGAGGTAAATCTTGTATAGGGTAAAAATTGAATCAAAATTTTACTCAGCATTAAGAGGAAGGAAATATAACAAAGAAAATAGATTGATTGTTTTACTCCTGTCATTTCTCTTCTTATCGAAGCATCTACTATCTACCGGACTACCATTGTCGACGACCATTGGCAAATATTCACTAGTGGAGGCTGTCAATGGCTATGAATGTCAATGGGGTAGGTTAATTGGTAAACCGCCCTATTCCACCACCCTATTCCTATTGGAACTGGTAGGGATGGCAATTTTCCCATCCCGGACGGGGACCCAACATCCTTGATTCCATCGGGTCAGAGATAGGATTATTTTGAAAGGACAGGGATGGGGATTGGGATTAATAAGACCCTAATTGGGGTCAAGGTCGGGGAAGGGGATTGAGGTTCTCGCCCCGCCTTGACTTCGATATTATATATATATATATATATATATATATATATATATATATTAAATGTTATTTATATTAGATATATATTATTATATTATTATATTATTTATTATATATATCAAAACATATTTAAAGTATTATTTATAATTTAAATTTTTTATTTATTTTAAACAAATTTATTTTTCAAAAAAAATTTGTCATCTAAAAAAATTTGGAAATTAGGATCCGTTTGAGGCACCTATCATGGAGGACAAATTTTACCCTCAACGGAAATCAGAGATATGATAAAGGTTAATTTCAGAATCAAGATCGAAAATGGGAAATATGATCCCCACTCCGTTGCCATTCCTAATAACGAGTTTGATATGAATTTTCGTCACAATAGGGCTGGGCTCCTGTTGAGAAATGCAATGTCAATTTGTTCTTATTTTGGGTTGAGCTATAAGTCATTTCTAGATTGCAACACCATAAGCACCTGAAGTGTTTTATGTAGATATGATTTATTTGTTCTGTCTTTTGATTCTCTATTATTGTAAGTATTAAATTTTTATTTATATTTTTCATCTTTTCATATCTCTCCACCTTGCCCTGCTTACATTACATGCCACCATTGTTTCTATATTCATACTTCATAGAGCAGGGTGGGGTGTTTGGTTTCAGGTTCAGGTTTGGTTGAATCCATGTCAAACCTGACCCGGTTGACATTATTGCGCTTGGAAAAGCTTTTCATCCCCTCACTCTATTTTGCATTTTTTACTCCAAACAAAGAAAAATTTAAGGTGCATTTTATGGGAATTGTTGCCATATAACTCAAGCATGAATGAAATTTTGAGGGTTTTACATGCTATAAAAAATTTATACAATTGGACTCAACAAAGAAAGCTTATTTGGGATTGGTACTTGATTCTTGTCCAATTAACTCTCATCCTCCGCATCGTGGCCAGAAAGGACTTTATTATCTTTTCATAATACTGAAATGGCTATTGGATATGGGCCTAAAAACTATTATTTCATATTGGTTTGAAGGAAAAAGTAGGAAAAGTAAGGAGAAAAATAGGAAAATCAATACAAAATTTATAAAGGTTTTTCTACATTACTTTTCTTTTCTTACTTTTTCGTTCAAACTAAACACAGCAAATGAATCTGTGACTGGCTCAAATAAAAACAATTCCTATTTCCAATCCAATACGAGGTTTTGCAGTTTGGCACAAGCAAGGACGTAAGAGAGATGGATGGGGAATTGTGTTAGTGATAGAAAGAAAAGTGGAAAAAACTAGAAAAGTGGAAAATTCGAACGGAAACTATGAAGTTAGTATATTTGCAGTTGTGAGTAGGGGAGCTGGGAAGAAAGAGGGACAGCAGCAAAGCAAAGCAAGGGTATTGGTGTTCATCAATTCAATTGTCCCCTTTTCCCTCTGTGCCACAGCAAGCATGCTGCATGCTGCATGCTGCATGGAATCTTTTGTGCACACAAAATCAAGATTCCCTGTAGCAATTTAATCAGGGCCCCCTCCATGCACCCCACCCGTGAAGAGAAAACCCTTTTATATTATGTCAGATTGGAATCTAGTTATCATCCATGATCCATCTCCTGCCACCCTGCCTTGTATTGTCTGTCTGTCATATATCCCATCTCACCACCAATCGAACAGGCCTTGCACTGCGAACATCTCCTTATTTTTGTAATGATTTTGTACCGACTGAATCCGATTTCGATTCTGAGGGTGAAGCAAGGGTTCTTTTTTCCTCTTTTCTATTGTGGTGGGCAACAATTAACAAACAACAGTAGTCTTAGTATGTGATTTTCTTTTTTGTTATTTCACAATTAACACTATTGACGAGGCTGTTTTGGTCTTTATACAAATCTTTCTTTCTTTTTAATTTTTAGCAGTGCTATAATGAAGACGGAGACGCTCTCATCGTAACAGCCATGAGATGCCCTCTTCAGTCTTCACTAATAGCCATCCATCCCATGGACCTCCACTGCACAAGGATCAATGCAATTTAAATGATTCAGAAATTACATGGCTGCTGAACTGTTTGATGATGGGCCCAGATCCTGAGAAATGGAGATCAGAGGGTGAGCATCTCATTATGGTTATGGTGAGTGCACCTTCAATTCAATTTTAAGCATGTTTATTAAAACTTAAAAGCAAGGTTTTTATAGTTAAATCAGACAACGAACCGTTCAGGGGTTCGGTTTTTGGTCGAATGGTCTAATCGTTCAAAATGAATGAACAGTCCATTCTGATAAAAAATTAAAAAATTAAAAAGAAAATAATCAAAAATCATTGAACTGTTCTAATGGTTTTATTACCCGGATCTCAATGGTTTACTGATTAAATCAATGGTTTTTTACCAAAATGACAATTTTAGAGTAAAATGATGACCAATTCCTAATTTTTCCTATCTTGACTGTCTGGTCCGATCCGATTTTGAAAACCATACTTAAAAAAAGGTGTATGGTTCTGTATCATTTATTTATATCAACTCTCTTCCCTTATTAAAACGCTACGCTAGCGACATTCTGGGTTGCCATATTTAGACTTTTTTTTTTTCTGTATTTTGATGAGAGATGGAGATGTTGGAGTTTGAGCTCGAGGGACTGGTGAGCTCAGGAGCCATGAATTGAAACCTTTTTCCAGGAATCCGATGGGGTTGATGGCAAATGTCAAGACAAAGTCAGAATTTTTCTTTTGTTTTTATTTTCTTTTGGGGAGACCTGAT